AGGATAGTCTCATAACATTCCTTTTCCTGTCTCCTTCCTTCATTCACCACCCCCTTCTTTTGGAACACATACATTATTTCAACAAAGCTTCAGGATGAAAACCCAACATAAATATAAAAGCATTCACTTACTCTGACATCAAAAAGTGTGAGATAGAGGTCAAAAAAGCAATTTCACTAAGAATAAATAAAAAAAAAACCCTACTCTTCCCTGCCCCAAGGATGACCAACAGATTGCTGGCCTGGAGAAGGAGAGGCAATATCTGAAAACTCTCCTATTTCAAATGATTTTGGGATATACAAGGACTATAAAAGTGTCAATGACTTTCCAAGTATACTAATTAAAAATAGTGAGCAAACTAATTACATATTTCTCAGAAGATTCAACGGACCAGTGACATGAAAAATGCTCAATGCCACCCATCATTGAGGAAAATCAAATCAAAGCCATATGCGGACATCTGCTCAGGCTGGAAGAAGGCCTTTATCAAGAGCCTAAAGGTAAAGAAAGAGGAAGCTTCACACACTGTTGGGTAGACTGCAAATGAATTTGCAAAATTAAGGAAATCTATAGACATAGTCTTCAAACGCTGAAAATAGTTTTGCGACACAATCCTGCTATCCCACTGCTGGGTACAGTTTCAAAGCAAATGAAGTCAGCATACTGAAGCAACTCCATGAGCCTTTGCAGCTGAGAGACAGAAGCACCCGCTGTCCTTCCTGAATGGGCAGAAGGAAAGGGGGAGCGTGTGGACTGCGCAGCACTCCTCATTTGTAAATGAGCTAAGATCTGTCACTTGTGACGGTACAGATGAAACCCATATTCCTTATAGGAAATAAATAAGCTAAATTAGGGAAACAATTACAGAACCATCTCGCTTGTTTAGGGATCTAATGAAGCTGATGTCACAGTAAACAGTAACCAGGAGAGTAGCAAAGAGTCACAGCCCAAGAGCTGGGAGGACGATGAGTTGTCGATATGTCACCCGCAGGAGCAGGAAGCTCTGCAGCACTATTGCAGGCGAAGGTGACCACGGATAACGGTCTCTCCTCCAGACAGAGGGAAGAGAGGATTGGAAGAGTTCCCCTGTGAAGACACGATAAATATGTGAAGAAGCAGACTTGTTTAACTTGACACGAACATCATGGAAAGTGTGCGTCTGAGTATTGCATCTGACTTTATTATGTAAGCTCTTTACATTTTCATTTATAAGTTAAAATTACATTTAAGTTTTGGAAATGAAAATAATTGGTCCCTGCAGGTAGTTTAACAGTTTCTTCTTTAAGACCCTGGGAGGAGAAAGTGACCTTCAGGGGGAAACCTCCGGAGACTACAGTGTCTCCATAACCACCACCAGGCTCCAGGTAGGAGCCTCCAAAAACCCGATAGGACTGCATTTGGCAACAGTTCAGTAGGGACAGGTCGCTGCCGTTGCTGTTAGGTGTCACTGACCCATCTGAGAGAGAGCCACAGTCACCTCCTGCAGGAGGGCTTCTGACCTGAGGACTGGGTGTACACCTGCAGGATGGCTGGGGAAAACCCTCAAAGGTACGTTTCATGATGGACTTTTTATTTTTATTTATTTTTTTATTAATTTTATTGAGAAACAAATGGCAATGAGACAGTTTCAAGACTGATTAATAGGACAGTTTCAATAATTAATACATTGCATATTGTCTTCATAGCAGCTCTTCATAGTACATGATACAGACAGGCCACTGGAAGTATACTCATAAGTGAAATAAACCAGACCCACATGTGTAAATATCGTACAGTCTCCCCAGTGTAAGAACTCAAAAGGAAGGAATAAAAATAGAAAGGTATAACACAACGAAAAGGAAAGTGAGAACTTGAGGATTAAACAACAAAGGAAGGGCAAGGAGAAAAGCTAGGAAACATGACAGGGGCAAAGCCATACATTTATATACACAAGATGGTTAAGGCAATGATCCTGAGAATCTTCATCATGGTTTTGAAACTAGCAGTTAATTGGTAGGTTTCTCACCCTGACTAGCTATATATGCTGATGCCTGTGAACTAAGCAACTGCACTGAAGATGGCATTGTGCAATGGTCATGCTTGGAATGCCTGTCATTCTGGTCTTTTAAATACGTAGTGCTTGTCATGACATACCCACTACTACCATACTGTCTCTCAAGTAAATGTTGTTTAAAAAAAAAAGGTAATAAATGAAAACAAGAGACAAGAAAAAAAGTCACAGGACTGTCCTGCTACAACTTATATGGTTAGCTTTCTAAATTTCTGTGTAAAAATATGTAATTGTTTTTCTTATTTTTTAAATGATGGACTTTCTAAAATTAAACTTACAGGTACAATTCAGCTGCACACAATGATCGCATACACCCCAGGGAATTTGCAGCCACGTGGTCGCGCCTTGTTTCCTTCTTTTCCCATTCTCCTCCCCTGCCTTCAACCGCTCTTCCTCTCTTCCTCTTATTTTTTTTATAAAGCTTTATTTTCATCTTATCCTTTCTATTTATTATTTTCATCCTCCTTCCTTCCTTTTCCCCTCGCCCTTCTGGTTCCCCTTTCCTTTTGAACAATTTTTTCCTGTTTCACAATATCCGTTATGCATTTGGACTCTTACTTACTCTTTCAGTTTCTCACACCAGACAGACAATGTGATATTTACAAATGTGTGCCTGATTTATTTTTTCCCCAAGGCATTTTATTGCTTTGCTGTAAGTTAACACTGTCAAACTCAAAACAAGTGAAATGATTTCTAGCTCACCTCTGTCTGTCAGATAAACACTGATTTGTCACAGGAAAGAAATGCTTCGTTTTTTATACAATGAAGTACTAATCAGCCAGGGGGTGGGGAGATCGGCTTGAGACATTTCTAGCTAACTGGCCAGACTGGGATCACTGAGAAGTGATCTACGGGCCTCTCACTGTTTACAGACCCACAACTGACTCGTGCGAGAGGAGTAACCACACTGTGGTGTCGCAGAGGGACAGAACGGCGTCAGGGTGCATTTGAAGCATGACCCATAGGCATGGTCTCCATTGACCGTTCCCTGCCTCAGACACGTTGCAAAACTTTGAACATTACTTGAGGCTGGGCGTTCCTCTGCTGGGACTCCAGCAATGTTTCAATGATATTTTTATTTCAAACCATAATTCTATACTGACTGTTGTTTCTCTTTTAGCAAGCCCATAAGGTTTTGTATTCCATCAACATTTTAGTGAGAAATGTAATTTAAGCAAAACCAATATCCTAGGTATACTTATGATGAATTATCTAAAAATAGCAGTGTTTCTGTTTTGTAAATGGTGAAGCGAGCCTGCGGTACAAGTGTCTTTTGCAGAGATAATTAGAACAAAAAATTAGAACAAAAAAGATAGAAGATGCTTTGAATGATAACTGACATCATGTTTTTACTGTGTATTTGTATCTTAATTGAAGTTTCAAAATCAAACACAAAGATAAACTCAGAATAAAAAGGGAATGATTCTTTAATTTGCAAAGGTTCATAAACAAATTAACATAATCTAAATTGCTTGTTCTTGGGAGGTGACACAGATGCTGAGTCTTTTTCCTAATATTTATATTACCTTGAGCCATAACATGAGTTCTCGATGCTGCATTGCAATTTTGGCTAATACGAAAACACTGCATACAACACAAATATACCATTGATG